AATGATGTTAGATAAATATTTAAATCAGGATCCTTAATATATTAATAATGATTTTTCTATTTCTGATGATTCATCGTTGTTAGTCTTAGCAACAAACAGAGGAATCAGACTCAAAAATTAAGAAACAAACAAAGAAATATTTTACACTTTGGATCAAAAATATCTATTAATAAGATTTATAGAATAAAGTTAAAAGTTTGTAGCTATTGCATAATCTTTTTTATATTTATATAAACTTGACGATATCAACAACCCTATTGTTTTTCAACATTTAATATTATGTGGTAATAAAATATAAGCAATCTATAATTTAGAATAATCAAATTCAATGATGATATTATATGATAAATTTATAACTATTCATGAATTAAAAGAAAAGGGAAATAATCAATTATTAGAAATTTAGAATGAGTTTAGTATATCAAAAGATTGTTTGATATTATCTAAATCAAATTATGTAGGGATTGGTATAGATAATGATATTAGATTTATTCCTCTTTCTAATTCAATTAAGATGCATAATATATATAATGCTTTTGTATCTTAATTTTACAATATTTTATATTATAGTTTTTCTTTGAACTGTTAAGAATTTATAATCATAGGTTTGAATTATGAAGAGAAGTTACAGAGAGCAAAAATAAATTTAATTAATTTAGAAATAGAGATAAAATCTAGTGAAATTAATTTTGGATTTAATATTAATATTTATTCAAATTAGAAATAGGATAAATTACTTTTAGTTCACAAAGACAATTAGAATTATTAAAGAAAATTAGATTTAATCGATTTTGAATCATTAAAAATAATTTAATGTATAGAATAACTTAATCACAATGAATCAAGTTGTAATTATGCTATATTTTCAGAAGATAATTCATATTTTATCACTAAATATAAAGATTAAACTATAAAATTATGGGATTCAAAAACATATAAACTTTTATCAAAATTTAAAAGTGATACAACCAATTTTGATTTGATTTCTATTTCAACAAAAGAAATCTTAGCATAATCAAATAATCACATTATTAAACTTTGGAATTTGAAGGCTTTAAGATCATAATAATCAGAAATGGATGGCCATTCTGATTCAATTAATTTAATATCAATATCTCCTGATGGTTTATAATTAGTATCTGGTTCTTTGACTTAAATTATTAGATGGGAATTAACCAAATTTAAAAAAATAGATGTATTAATTAAAGGATAAGGTTTGCGCTCTATCTTTTGTTTCTCTGAAGATGCAAATTATTTTGCAGCTGTTGATAAAGATCCTTGCCTAATTATAATTTGGAAATTAAATACTTTATATTTAATTGAAAATTTCATGACAATAAGTTATTTTACTTAAGCAATAAATTTAAAATTTAAAATAGCTGATAATCATCTAATTTCATGCTATTAAATTGAATCTTAATTGTATCATATAGCTTGGGATTTGAGTAAGCCTGAATTATATTAAATTTAAAGAAAAACTTGTTACGTTGACATTCCTAAACCTGTCATGTAATTTTTAAGTGATAATAATTTAATGATATAAATTAAACCTCTTAAAATTTTTGTTTTTTTTGACCAAGAAAATTCAGAATATTTTTAATTTGATAATTCTTAATCAATATCAGATGCTAAATTAGTTACTATTACGCATGACAATCTTAAAATGGCAGTTTAAAATGAAAGTGAAATAATTATTTGGTCTTTTAAAAAATAACAAATTGAACATAGGTTTGAAAATGATATTGGATGTACATAGAATTTAGTATTTTCAGGAGATAATAAAATACTATTTACTAATTACAATGTTACTATTAGATGTTTAGACGTAACC